TATAAGTATTGGTGATACTGGTTTTGATTGCCAGTAATAATGACTATACACTACCATTCAAAAGTTTTGGGTAGTAATATTTTTACTAACTTTCTGATCAAATAAATGCAGCGTTTGTGAGCAAAACAGACTTCTTTCAAAAACAGTAAAAAAATAAAATAAAATAAAAAAATGACCCTAAACTTTTGAACAGTAGAGTATGTTTGCAATAAATCATAATACCAGATCTTCGAATGTGATATGAATATCTCAACAGGATAATTATTGTTTCATGCATGCCTGGCATGTACTTTTAAGTGCATTTGTGGTTCTCCTGCTACGCATCAAAGCAGATTTGTCTTACTGTAACATGATTTTTAAATGACCGAGGGTGTGTTTATCTGCTGGTCTGAACTCCTAATAGAAAGTAGTTGAAAGTAGTTCTTATCTGAGTTCTTAATTGGATAAAATCCCCATAGAATGACGAGAGGGGACTGAGAGGTGGGACCCTGCTTATCGCAAAACAGAAGAATGCTGTATATCCCAGAACAGGAAGTGATGTGGCCAAAGTGTACTTTGTTTAGGGGAAAAAAAGCACAATCTCAGAAACGCAACATCATGTGATTTTAGTAGCATGACATAATATCAACAGTAGTTTATTTTAGATCACTGTTGTTTTCTCCCACATTTCTGTTTTAAATGTTTTTTCAGGTGCTGGTTTTAGCCTGCATGTGGATTATATTTTAAGTATCATGTTCTGTAAACATTACTACAAGGCATATTCAGGAACTAGCATTAACAATCACACTGGCAGAAATGTAATGGATCACTGTAAAACATGCATTTCAGCTTTTGAAATTATTTATCTTCCTTTTTTTTCTATGACTGACCATGTTGCACACATGCAGGGCTCATAGAGGAAACATGTTTTATGTTACTCTCACATTTATACATCTTGAACATGTGGTCTGCTGTTTCTTGAATACCCCTTTGTGCATTGATCAGTTGTTGGGTGGCCATGGTATTTTTT